GTGCAAACAAGGCCACCCACTCTCCAATATCCCAATAACAACAATAACAGCAATAATAACAATAATAGCAGCGTCAACCACAGCAATGACAACAATAATAATAAGTACAATATGTGATAGGTTTTTTTAATTTTAATCAAGATGTCAATTTTAAGAGTGATACGATCAGCGCAAGGTTTCTCTAACATTCTTTGGCCTATGACTTTAGATACTGCATAGTTACCTTTTTCAAAAAATTGATAACGTATCATCGGTGGAGTTGGTAGTACTCACGTTTTAGATTTTTGTAAATAAAATAGACAAAAAGTGAACGATGGGCTTATGCGAAGCTTTTGAAAATATTAACAATCATCTTATATTTAGAAGATTTTTTTTGGGATTAATAGCAGATACGAACAGGTATATACAGATACAAACGTGTCATATTTTTTATTATTTATATCCAAGCTAACGTTATTGATATTATGTTAAATAAATTAATATATTTATGCTGAACAGTTAAACTTTCTAATTCAAAATAAAACGTTACAGTTTCGCAGCATTTCTATAAAGTATCAGATTATTCATAGAAATACTTACTGTTTACACAGAGGCAATGAAAACCATAGATGTTCCAAAATTTTGTTCGAAATTGAGATTAGGGGATTCTTGGAGAACTTTTGTGCATCTGTTATCAAGAACGCTGTTGATTAGCAGCTATTTTTATTCTTGCTTTTTCAAACTCATTCTTTATAGGGGCAAAGGTTCTGTTAATAGTTTCTTGATATGACATCGCAAACCATTAGTGCATACAATTCTGTGCTTTTAAGTAAACAAGGGTTATGGTGTGGTTATAAGTGCTTATGTACGAAAAAAGACAAAACAACAGGTATTTATGTAACAAATATGTTTTCTTTTCGTTTTGTTTTGAAGAATTGAATTCTAAATTTTATGTTCGACATATCTTATTGAAAATTTTCGTATGAAGAAATATGAAGAAATTTTTTATTATGACTATATGAATTTCGTGGAAGCATTTTATACTCTTCGAACAAAGTGCTTTATTTCTCTAAATGTCCTACAAAAGCAAGGTAAAAGATATACACGAACGACGGGGGACTAAGGTCTCGCATAATGTGGATACGTTAGACGAATGTATATGTGGAGAATTAATTACCTAATATGATGTATAAAATGGATACTTGCGGAATGCAAAAATAATCAGATGCGTGGCACCAACTTTGTTAAGTAAATCTAAACGTCTTGTATTTTACAAATTGGAACGCAACCTCTGAGCATTTAGTCAAGAGTTTTGTCAGAATAGGAAATAAATAAATTGCGAATTCAATATATCTATGCAAAAATAGAAATATATACACCTAACAAGTCTACGGTGGCTGACAATCTATTACGTTGGTATATAATTACGATGCACGTAAGTAATTATATTCCCACTGTCTCAGTTACAAATGGATTTAACCATGTATTGTATAAACTTTCATGGATGTATGATGTATGGAAATATGCAAATTATAACATTATACAATACTTGTTTTGGATGGCTTATGTGCTATTGGATGAATGAAAGTGTTAACACATGATTTCATATATGATTCGACGGCATATCAAGAGGAAAATCGCCATTTGCTTTGAAGTGAAAGTTTTCAGCACTAGCACTCGTTAGGAATGTAACACCGGTAGATATACGAAGGTATGGCTTTTTTCCTAAAGAGGACTTGGCAGAAGTTGGATTAGGACTGTTCTTAAACAGAACATTTTTATCAGGGTATCGATGAAATCCTTCAAAACTTTCTCACTTTAAAATTATTCCTTATAGAATAGATATAGAATTATATATGTAATAGTTGCACTCGTCATAAAATTGTGTGTATGTGTTGCTTTCCACAGGTGCTTTATAAAGACTTTCAAAAACAAGTTATTCTAATTTTTCGACAGTGAACGCATATACTGAAATGAAATTGGAAGTAATAGGGAAACGTGATAAAATAAGCCAATTGTCCTCGACATGAATAAGCGGGAAGATATTTATTGAGCAACATTTTATATAAGAGACATAATCAACGAAAATATACAACTAAAATGCATTTAACTATGGGAGCTACCTACCTTTTCAAACCCACCGTTTTTGTTCCCAATTTACTAAGTTTTGGTTTCTTTGTCGCTGTTTGACAGGCATTATGAATATGTGAATGTAATACTTGGCCACTATCTCCGTAAGGAGCCCTAATATTTATCATTTCATCAATACTGGCAGCGCTGTAAAAACAAGATTCATGGCCGTCCATTTTGCTAACGTTCACGTTGTCATTAATGCTGTGAATATAATCGTAAGGATCAACGCCGCCTAAAATCTTACAATTACGGTTGTTGATATTTTTTATATTACTGTTGTTTTTATTAATAGAGTCACTTTGAGGTTTAGCGCAAGCCGAAGAAATAGTTTTACGCCGCACGGCCTTTGCATCCGCATCAGAGGACGCGCTTGCTGTGGATTTCACATTCGTCGGTAGTGTTTGCCCGCGAATTGGGCTTCTACCCAAATATTGAGAAGTTAAATTAAGACTTAAGTTGCGAGGTGAGCCCGATCCATTGCTATAATCACCTCCCATGATATCTTTTTTAGAGTGGCCATCTGCACCTTTAGCTTCCTTAGACGGTGTGACGTATCATGGCATCAATTCCCATAAAGTTGTGGAAACTAAGTCAATTGAGACGTTTAGAAAGCAGCTTGCGTAAAAAGAACTTTTGCTGTTTTATTATTATTCACTTCATTGAGCAGGAGATGCTATATGACATACACGCGAAAAAAATAAAACACTTGTTTTACAACTAGAGAATCAGGCAGCAATTCTCGATATCGTTGCAAAAATTTTAAATTTGCTTATCGATTTGAAATTCCGCGTTACGCGAAGGATATGCACAAATCTTAATTTTTATTCATTTGGACATTTTCTAGCGATCGCTGAACATCCATCCACACATGTATTGTCAATTTATATGCAAATAAATACATAATACAAGCAATATGCAGATGTACGTTGTATTTAATTACGCTATATGTGTACATATATATTTATGTACGTATGCATATATATATATATAAACATAATACGTTTTTACGTGCGTATATCTAAATATATATATACATATGTTTGTTCTTATTATCGGTAATTTATTATGCTGCACAACGTGTATTCCATTAACAAGTTCTTCGTAATTCACGACTTATTTCTTCTTTCGCAAGATATATAAGTTCTTGAGCAAATTATTATTTGCTCGAATGCAATCTATTTCATTCACATCACCTCGATGTTTACATCAACTTTTTAATGTATTTAATATGCTCGACACATAATTTTACAGTCCATATTACAAAATAAACTATCACACAATACAAAGGACGCTTATTCGCAAACTTATTTATTCACCGATTTATACACAAAAAAACCAATTAATTCTGGTAAAGAAGAATTAGACAAAACGTTGCCAACGAAAGTAAATTAACTTACAAAACAACAAATGAGAGCATAATAAGCAAACCATACGTGAAAGTAACAAACTATTATTGAAACAGTTCTGAAAATAAAAATGATAGCATAAGGCAGTTCACGTGGCTACATTCGAAAATTTCTCATAAAAGTTTTTCAAGATTGTTCCTAGAAAATTTACGGTTGAAAAAATGTTGGTTTTTTATAGTACGGCGGTTGATTGCTACTTTTGATAAGTCTGGTTATCTGTGATCGTATGTAGCCTAATCAGTTGACACTAAATATTCTCAACAAACGTTTACAGCTGATAGTGAGTAAACAATAAACTGCTTTTATGAATTTCTTATAAAACATTTCACAGACCGATTTTAAGCACGAGCACACGTTATGTGTAGTGCGCGGCGCACGGATTGTCAAAATAATATTGATTGTGCTTATTCATATAATAATTTTCATTATTGTTATAAAAAACAAACAGAAGGAAGAAAATATTAAATAAAATTAAAGTAGTTATTTGAATTTTTGATAACCGACGAAATGAAGAAAAAATTGCTAAATTAAATAAATTGAGAAAAAAATGGAAGTCAACATATGTACATATGAAAATTAGTAAGAACAGAAAAATGATGGAAAAAGAGTTTGTACACGTAGTATGCAAAACGCAAGAAGGCTCCCAGGGTTTCGCAATAAAGTGGCAAGAAAAAAAGGGTGAAAAAGTGTATCCAAACAAAGGGATGTGTCCAGTATGAGTAATATAAAAAAATTACAAATAAACTAGATTAACATTTATATTTTTATATTGAAAAGTGGAAGTGAGGTCAAAATCTCCGAATGACGGTTTTATGAAGCACTACAATAGAAGGGCAGCCCTAGTCAGTGCTTACGCTTCTGGTAGCATCCAATAGTAATTGTACGATGCTATACAGTTTTTAGAAGATTTCATAGTATCGTATCAGTATATATGATATGTGTATGAAAATTACTTAAACACTTTATTCTTCAAAAATCTGAAACAAGTTTGCATATTGAATAAATTTTTAATTTAATAATTTGATGAAAGAAAGGAAAGAAGAAACATCACCTAATTTCGGATTAGTATCAAAGAAATAGATATTAAAGAGACATGAAGAAATTGCAGTATATCAAAACAGTATGATATTACCATATTAAGATAATCACCAGAATTTTGTGTATTTGAATGCCAATTGGGCGTTAACTAATATGTTATGATCGAAACATATGCCATTGTGATTGAACGCGACAGAGTGAACAGATTTATCAGTGCTTCGTCTGTATATATGAAAAAAGACTGGTATATCTCGGATGTATTTACGTTTATTGAAAAGTATACGTCGCTGTTCCATGTCTCTACAGAACGTCTAGGAAGAAAAGGCTCCTATTTATCAGTGTTTATTTTTAACCTCCAATCAATAGCGCATATTTCTACAGTATCGAATTGCTTCTGTAAATTTTTGTTTATATTGCTAATTCTCTCAAAAACACCGATACCACGTGTGAATAAAATGATACTTTCCATCATATTAAGCAAATCGTATAGGCATGCATGCAAGAGTACTGAGGAGTTTACAATTCCTTGTTATAGGCCATTCTCAATTGAATATATTCTTGGACTCGTTTTGACTTCATGAGAAACCTTAACGGTTACCTGTCATATTGTATATAATTATAGACAATCGCGGTGGTAATCAAGTCCCTAAAAGTTAGCTTATGTTTTCGTTTTTCGGCTGACTTGGGATCGCATATGTGACAGCATTCAGTATAGTTCGACGGCAATCGGTTTCTTGGGATCACGTAAGCACAAAGCCGTTAGATACACTCTCTCATACTTGTCAAATTATGCGTAAGCAGAAAAACTCACGTTTTACATTACTGCTAGTTGTTAAAAGCTACATTTATAAGAGAGAACAACTGTAAATTTAAAACAAAATAAATTCCAAATAAAGCTGAAGCAAAATAGAAAATTATTGACCAAAAAAGTTTGAGGGAGACACGGAAACAAAAATTGCAAACAAATACAAGTTTTTCTTTTAGAAATTTTCCAGAATTTTATTGAGTCAACATGCAACCCGTATTCCTTATTGCTTTACTCCATTCAACTCCAGCAAACCAAAAAATAAAAAGATTTGGGTATGTGAAAGACAAGTAATATCATGTTAAATGTAAATATATAAGCGTCTTGCGTTAATTAATATACAAATATTAGGCAGAACGCAACAGAAGGGGATCGAAATCCGCAACAAGGAATTTTTATGGGACGGAGAAGAGCTATGCGGGTGCTTCCAATCCCCATAAACTATCTGAAGACGTGTAGAACAAATATATCAAATGTATGAATAATATATATGTCAAATGTATAAATAATACGTGTGCAAAAATAAAAAATATAAAATTCAAAGCTTGTAAATAAAGAATTAAAGTGATGTTGTTTTGATCAAATTAAAATAGAAACGACGAATTTAATAAGTCCTTCGATAAGTTGAACGATCTATCGTCCTCGATCGTCTCCTTTAACAATGTAATATACTCCCCCAATAATTGAGTTTGTTCCCATAATAATTGTAAGACGGTCTCTTGGAAATGTTTTATATAATTAATTTGCTTCTGGAGCAAATTGCGCGTGTCAAATGACGCCTTCCTTTGTTAACCCTCATTTTCCAGCTGAATCTAACAAAGAGAACAAATGTTGAACAATAAATCATATAAGTGCAATTATTTGCGTTTTTTAGCTATACTTGGCATGTCGTCATTGGACGGTACATCTGCAGTGGGATTTCAATAGACTTAAACAGAATTCAAGACAATTTAAAATTGCACATGTGAGGGAAATACATCACCATCCAAAGATTTGACCAGAGAACCAGATTACAATATTCGTCTTCGGGATAGTCGGCAATGAAATACAGCAATTGAATCAATTATTACTTGCAATGTGACCTGCAATCACAACTCTTACATATTAAAAAAAAAGTTAATGAGAACAAATTAAAAAAGATTTTTTAATCCACCTGAGTAGCCGAAGGTGAGGACTCTCGACTAACAAGTGAATGGTCGTGGGTTCGAATCTCAAGTGCGGTATAGATGCTAGTGCTTTTAAGAATTTAGTCTTAGAATTTATTTCTCTGGCAAAATTAATAATAATAAAAAAGATTTACATATTTTTCTCTGTTATATACTTGGAGTATAATATTATTTATCTTTATTAAATAATGACAATGGCACTAATAAATACGTTATCTTTTAAAGTGCGTTAATTAGTTATAATTGTCGATAATTTATGCCATAATTAGCTAAACTAAAAATAATAGGTTCTTAAGCAAAGTTTAACAATTTTTATTGTCAAAGTATTATCAACAATCTTGCATTTGAAGCTTTTTCTATCCATTAGATTAAATCCTCATTTTAATCGAAATCATCCCTAAATTTTTAATTTGCCAGATTTTCATTGTGGTTACCGGAGCATAAGTAATCAATGTATATAATTTGTTAGGAAAATTCTTATCATCATTGCGACTTCGAGCTAAGCGCGTACAAACAAGAAAACACGCAGATCTATTATTTGAGGAAATAAGGCAATTGTTAGTGTCATCACTTTTAAAAAATCAACTAAAAGTCAAGAATATTGTTTACAATAAGAGAACATATTTCGCTAGCAAGGCCAGCGCAATAAAATTATTGTGTTACTTAAAGAGTTTCAATATTAACAAATGCTATAAAAGAGAATAAGAAGAAGTAAGAGAAGTGAACCGAACACAATTACTGAAGATTATGTATTATGTAAGACTACACTGTGAGCATACGTACGTCATACTAGACACACGCAAATTATGTGATAGACTGTGTCATTTCAATTATTCTGTTCAGCGCTTTAGTCGGTATAACTGCTCTCGACCGACTTCATAAAGATTGGGACAAGAAACCCTATTTTCTGCTCCGCTGCGTTTTACCTGGGGGGAAACATAATGTAGAATCACTTATTTTCCCAGGGCTGGAGGCATTTAAATTATAAATTTTTTTTAATATAGAGGACAAACTTCATTTATACCTATTTACATAGGTATATATTATGTAGATAATATATAAATCTATAAAATTTATGAATTTAATGTATTCCCCGGACGTGGAAATATAAGACAAGCTTGAGTGTGTCAACTCTTATTAAATTGCAAAAAAAAGGAAGCTGACTTTTGAAGTAAAGGTTTACTCTTCGTTTTTTATTCGATCTAAGCATATTAAATCCTATTTATTTCTTGATAGTCAAAAGTTCGCTGATTGTGTAAATCGATGTCAAATGTGCTAAAGCCGCTTTCACCTTTAAATACAGTGTTTGTGAAAAATTGTCGAAGTATGGCTTGGCGACGAGTTCGTACTATCAAGTTAAAAGATAATAAAGGATTAACTACTCCAAGCAACAGGTTTTATACAAATGCAATACGTGAGTACACCGTTATTTTACAACCTAGATTTGGCATTCCATTGCCAATTATAGAATTAGGCAACAATGTATATCATATACAAAAATCTGGATATTTATTTTTTCCAAAAAAAAAAAAAAAATTACTTCTGTTGATATTTCCACTGCCAATTCCTTGCTTAATAAAATTTACGACATATTTATTTTGGTTGAATTCTATGAAGTCTGTGAAGCAGCACCGATTCCGTCTAACTACTCAGAGCAGAAAGGTTTTGAAAAAGGCTAAAAGTTCCCACAGATTCGGATTCTTGCCTAATCGTTGCGAAATTGTCGAAGTAATGCGCTCCAGCAAATAAGGCCCTCTTAAACTGACACAT